AGAGAACAAACAACATTTTTTCCCCCCTTTTTTTTTCAAGACACACAAAGAGAAAAGCAAACTAACCACAATGTACTGCCGCATACTACTTTGTGTATTTTACATAAAGCTCATTCCGGGAACGCAGACCATTTCGAACCGAGGGCAAAACATAAATTATAAAACGCAACCAACCTATTCGTTAAAATTATTATTAACCCAATGATAACACCAGCGGCTGCCTTTCGCATATATTATACTGTTGTCCCTTAGGGTTTGTGTTGACCACCTGCAAAAACCTGCTAAAGGGCGTGTATTAGGTGGAAAATAAGAGCAGAAAATTCTAATGTAAACCGAGTAGACGAATAAATTTGTCGACAGGGCTTTAAGACGTTGAGGTAGAGATAGACCAAAGTAGAAGAAGAAGTGAGTGCGCCTTATTGATAAGGACGTGGAAGTGTGTGGAGTAGATAAGGAACTATAGTGTACATGATCCTAGGATGTGAAGCGAGACTGCAAGATGGACGATAAGGCGAACAAAAAGGAGCTTTTGCACATTTTCCATTTGGGTTAATTCTTCTGTACCTAACCTAATCGGACGGTTTTGTTAAGGGGATTGCGTGCGGTCTGTTTTTGTGACGGTTTAGACCAAAAAGCCAGACAAAATTTCGACTATATACTTAGGGCGGTCCGATTTCAATTGTGTGGTAATTCTGTTACTATGTGGGAAACAGATAATTTGCTTTGCTTTTTGTGAAAAAGTTGCAAATTTGATTCATTTAATTACAAGAAAAATAAATTGTTCAAATGTTAATTGGCTTCCTACAAAACACAATAAAGTAGCCAAAGAAGTCGAAGCACTTGAATTTACATTGGATGAACCATCCAATGTAAATTCTCATTTTTCTTAATTACTATAGCCCACGAAAAACTCCTTAAGGACAGACTGCATGCGAACCCCAACGAATCCTCCAATCCAATGAATTTCACATCTCATAAGTAAACGCTAAAAAGAAGAACCATACTTCTTGTTGATGTGTCATGAGTCTTTGAATATCATTTTTTGAAATACACGTTTGAATATCTGCAAGTCGAAAAACGCGTTCAATTGTAAAACTTAACGAAGGAAAACGTTTTTTTATAGCCACACTGTTGGTATTTTTTTTTTGCGTTTGTTGTTTGTCGCTAATGCTCGATATAAAAAAACGAGGGGAACGTGCGATATTAACGCATTTTTTATCTTTCATTTTTATCATTTTCGGTTTCAGGTACAACATTATCTTGCGTGCATCCGTTCGACACAATCGTTATAACCGCTGAAAACAGTGTATATTCGTCGTAAACGTTGGTTATTCGTTTATCAGTCCCGTGTGTGTGTTTTTATTATCACTATTTTTTATTTTTTTTTTATGATATTTCTATCCGCCGGCCGCCGTTTGTTAGTCTCAGCGCAGACTCGTTTATATCAATAAAAAATATCAACGGCAAAAAAAAAATATATGAATAAGCAAAACATTGTAAAAATCAATATATATTATTATCTATAATAATATTTTGTTTACATGTACACGAAATAAGAAAAAAAAACGATAAAAGACATGTCTCTTAAGGGACGCTATGCTCGGTACCGGTTATTATTTTTTATGGCGGATCGCCCAAAGTCCAAATAAATATGGCCAAACAACGTTAAGTGTAACCATAACTAGCGACGGCAGCTTTGGGCCTTCATTTTAATGCAGATTGATTGCTGACGATGCACAAATTTCATTAAATAAGCAAAAAAAATAATATGTATCCGATTAAAATTTTAAGCCTCTATTTTTTTGCCGACGGTTTTTATATTAAAGCTTTTGAGTTTTTTTAAAGTGTAAATTGTCTGCGAATTGAAAATAAATCCCTGATAAAAATAAGGTGCATGTATAATGTATTATATTATGTTAAAAAAAAAAGCTCTTAACTTTCCGGCATATTTATCATCTTGGTGATTGGAAAATATCTTGATCAGACTTTGCAATGGCTAGGAATTCGACGACCTATTGCTCAATGGACAAAATATGACTTGATAAAAATACTGGCCGTTGTCACAAGTATTTACAGTTGTCCCAATTGTGTTTGCTTCTATTTTCTAAAATGCATATTGTTACTTACTTGCGTTGGGACCAATTTTAAATTTAGTCCATCTCGGGAATTTCTCGAGAAACAATTTGTCATTCTTGACAAATTTGGAGTCAAGTATTTCTGCCAGAAAATTGGCGAGTTCGAAAGCGGTACAGAATTGTACACATTCCAGTTAAGACATGTCAAGGAATGTTTCACATGTGTTGCAGTTCAGCGGGGCTCTTCTTTGGCATGCAATAAGGTAAAACAATGTACTTTGTACGCCTTGCGGTTGTTTAGTTATGCTAATCTTGAAAATTACATTTCCTCTGGTAGAAATTTATCCAGTTTGCCGACAACATGAATTAGGTATTAGCTGAGTGTAGGAGGATTGCAAATATTTTGTTTCAATGTGTCTATATTGTTCTATTTTCTTATTTTTTGTTCTTGGGGTGTATTCGTTTTCTTATCCAACTTGGAACGTCCTACCCATAGTTTAACAGGGTAAACTAAGAGAAAAAGACCCGTCTGACCGTTCCAAACAAAATACAGATTGGACATTTCTAATAGGCAAGTTTCGAGTAAGACTTTATAGATCCGGATAAGATGGCATTTTTCTCGTCTCAGAGATATACATATACACTGTAAGAGTGGAATTAGCAAAGAAATTCGAAAAGGACGTGCGCCGGGATCATTAGGGAACGCGCAGCGAAACTTAACAAGATGTATAATATATTTTTAATACTCCCCTTCCGGTTTTCGGTAAGTCATCAGCGATTTTGTCCGTGTCCGACTGTCGAGGCGTTCCTACACTCAACACAATTAAAACACGGCTATGTTTCGCCTTCTGAATAACAAACAGCCACTAATAATATTACAGTCGCGTATCGAGGGGTGACTCTCCACCACAACACACACACACACAACGCGCTGCCCTGTTGGTGGTCGAAATTTCGTTATTTGTAGCTGTTGTATAAACACAGACTACTTGGAACACACAGAAAAAAAATATCAAAATTGAATGACAATTTTTGTAGACCGGTTGTCGGTGCACATAGAGTTGAATTGTTCTTTATTTAAAAAATTAATTCAATATAAAAGTTACCGTTTAAGCTCTGGAAAATATTTTTAAAAAAGGCAAATATTTAGAAATTGTATAATATTTTAAAATAGGTAACATAAATGTTTCTAAAAATATAAACTACAAAATTTCAATTAAAGTTTTAAATTAAATTGTTCGCCTTGTACACGAGTAATCCTATTTTCTATGCGAACCACTCAACGGTTTCTTTTCACAGCGTTCTAAGCAAATTCCTTATAAAAAGTTTCACACCGCAACAGTTGCTGTAATCTTTTTTTATGCTCGCGTCTCATACGTTTTATAGCTGCGAAAGAAAAAAAAGGAGATTTCCTTTCCTAAAAAGTATTCAATTTAAAAAAAAAACAGAAACCCACATTGCAGAAATTGTAAAAAAAAAGTACAAATTGAATTAATAAATACAAAATTCATTTTTGCGCCTTAACCAACCTTATAAGTCTAATATACATCTGTTGATCTGTTGACATAATGTATTGACCAATGAATTTTTAAATGTAAGATGTTATTTTAAATTTACTCAACGTACCCACATTACTTCAACTCACCTTCAATTTCAAAAATAAATTCAACACAAGTACCTAGCCAGGTTGCTGTATACAAATATACTTAAAGCTATTAGTTATTAGTTTCTTTTTTGTTATTATTATTATAGAAAAAAAAAATCAAGTACTTATATCATAAGATAAACAAATAATGTGTTTAAATATTATACTATAAAAGAATGTATGCTTTTTTCATAAATTAATATTATATATCAAATTATTCCATCAAGGGTTGGTTTCATAGCTAAAATGATCTACATCTTGAATTTTAAATCACGTTTAAAAGGTTGTAATCACAACAAGATTACCGTTAATGTAAAATTGTAATGACGTTTTTTTTTTAAAAAAAAAAAGTTATATTTCACTAAGACTGAAGAAAAAAAACTTCATTACATTGAAATGTCTATTCTCTCGGTAAAATACATTATAAACGGCTTATTATCGTCGGGTGACTTAATTAACATTTTAAAAATATCGAATTTAGATCATTATATTATGCAAATTTTAAGTATAAAATTAACGTCCGAGCAAATTAAGTGTTACGGTGTTTTTTCTCTTCTTGTATTTCTTGAAAAGGTCCTGTTTTCACCGGGGTCTTAGGTAAAAGTGTATGAATAAATTATTTGGTATATTGAATACAGCTCGAACGGCTTTTGTAAAGTGCCCGGACGAGATGTTGAAAAGGTGAAATTCCCGCGCAAGTGTATCCGATTGCTTTGTAAACCGAGTAGAGGACGGATCGAGTAGATTGTATCAACTTTTCAGAAGGGCAGTTAAGGAATTTCAGAGTTTCCTCCGCGGGTCGTCCGTAAGGGATCACGCATGCATATTACATGCCTTGACATAGCATTACTAGAAGTGTCCAAGGAAATAATACAATATTGCGTAGGCGTGTCGCGTTCAATTACACATAACTGAGTTCTATTGAATCGACCCTGCCATTTTTGTCGAACGACTTAAACTATATTGTGCTTTACGCGAAACATACTGAAGTTTTCCCGGGTTAGTCTTTTGGCAATAGAATTTGCTCCAAGTTTACATTTAGCCATATATTTTGTTACATATGAGAAGCAACTCTGATGAATGCAAAAACAAGTAAAAAAATAGAAAACACCGAAATAGAATACACATTTAATGCTGGTATAATATTTTGGCCGAGCTTTTCCTTTTGGTTAGCACACAAAGGTCAATATTAATTATTGGGAATTTCGGCAGTTGTAATATTACAGTGTGCGTTGTGCTGGAAATTTCACGTTTAACTACAACTTGCCGTGTGCTTACAGGGTCGGTGCAACAGAGAGAAGCCGCCGTGCAAGTATTTCCACCCGCCGCAGCATCTCAAGGATCAGCTATTGATAAACGGTCGCAACCATTTGGCATTGAAGAACGCGCTGATGCAGCAGATGACCATGGCGGCCAGCCAGCAGATCGTACCCGGTCAAGTTCCCACGGCGGTGGTGAGTTTTGATCCTGTTAGTATGAACATTTTTTATTAAATAATTTTTTTTTTCATTTTATTATTTTAAGTGCATGACATAGCACAACCAATGCCTAAGACACAACCCTAAGAATTACCCCGGGCGATAGTCAAACATGGAGGGGGAAGACGCGCCGTATCTTGATTACCGTTTTACTTTAATGTTGCCATCAATTCTGCGCCACAAACAAATCAACAACTTTTAATTTGTTTTCGCCGACTCCGGCACTTAATTACATAAGTCGGCGGTGTAATTAAATCACAGTTTTAATACTCTTTGCAAAGCCAATCGATCAAAGTCAAACGCCGAAATCGCATTATTTATAATCGTGTCGCCGCCGCGGTTTCATTCGTTTGTTACAAGTCCGTGGAATATCAATTAGATATTTCTGAATGAAAAATATAATATGTTCAGGACAAAAGCTTTGCATTCTCGAGGCTTACTTTTCTTAGATGTCTAATGCCAAGATTGCTAGCAGAAATAAATAAGAGGGAGACGCCACAACTGTTGCCAAATGTCATACAGACCATGATTTGTATCTAGTCTGTGAGGAACGTCACAAAAAAAAAACCCAGACCATAATATCAGTCCCATCTATTATCAGTGTGTTAAGTGGGCGTTATCGGATAAAGGAAAATTGACAATAAATTACGAAGAAGCTAAATTTACCAAATTCTCACCGTTCGTTCCACACCGCCATTTTTTTCTACCGTCGCCTGTTTTCTTTTCTAATATTTTCTATTTCTTACCATCCTGATTTTTCAGTCCATTAGTCCATTTGTGTCAAGTAACATCCGTGACTCTAGATCGTCATGTATCGAGTTTCAGCTATCATTATTATATTGAATCGTTAAATAGCTGGTTTATGTTACCCTTGGGTACTTTTTTTTTGTCTGTTAATCTTTCGAACGTGCGGTCAGAGCAGCGTTGGGGTTTTATTCGGTCCGAAGAAGGTTTTTTGGACAAACATTAATTTTCGTTTTGCATTTACAAATAAACAATCCGGAGGTCGAAAACCACGAACGGCATCCATAAAGCAACATACAGTATAAATAAAAATAAACTTATGGCTTAGTCGAGCTCGCATTGCCTTTCTGAAACAATCGTTGGGCACGTACAATGTCCGGAAAACAATCCGTTATTATTTATTTGTTTGTTTCGGTCATAAGGCTCGTGAAACAATACAATTAGCTAAGATCAACCGCGGATTTATTGTGGAAAATAATACTTAATTGTACCGAACGAAATGTCTACACGAGGAGTAATAAAACGTACTCAAGGGTTATATTTTAATAGAGCAATATATGAATGTAATAAATAATATGAATAATAAATGTATTTGCAAAGAGGGATAAAAACAGAAAAAAGTTTTGTGTACTCGTTGAGTATTAAATTTCATACGGAATGACATAAAATACTACATCGGTTAAGTTAAGTTGCATTGTTAAGCCACCAGTGAAGTACTTCAGTTTGAAATTTTTAAAATTGTAAAAATCTCAAGGCCATTTCAATCCACGGTAAAGTCAATACAAAATGCAAACTTTCCATTTGCAAGGCAACCCAAGTACTTTTGGTAAAATGGACCAGTATAATAAATTGAGACGCTTTTTAACAATATGTAAATCTAATTGAGACGTTTATTAAAACAAGGACCAAATTTCAAATTTTGGTGTTTTTAGGAGAGACAAAAAACTATTTTTCTAGGTACGTTTTTTTTAACGAAAACTTTATACTTTTGCCGAATTTATTACCATTTAATGGGTTGATTTAATTTATAAAATGACAATTTTTAGTTTTAATTTACCTATGGAGTTTTTTAAGGGTTGTAAAATTGGGTCTTTGTTCTTATCAAAACTTTTAAAATTGAAAGTTAACATTTATTTAATAAAAAAAAAATGACTTGTTCTGTGTATGAAATGTAACTTTTTTATTCAAAATCATATAAACATGCTCTAAAAATAAAACAAAACGATAAAAGTGTCATATAGAAAACAATATTATGACTGAGAATATTAAAACATTAAAATAGTAGTTGTCACAATATTTTACTTTTTTGATCACAGTTGTACTTTTGTTTATAAAATAACATTTATTAGGCCCTCTTTTTTAGTAAAATAACATGTATGTTTTCTTATTACAGTATGCATACCGGATATGCATACTGGACCAATAATATTCTAGCATAATATAAAATTTTAAAATAAATACATTTTTATAAGAAAAAACGCGTTTTGCAAAAAAATCCGAATTAGGCCCTTGTTCTAATAAGTGTCTCACAATTATTCTAAACGGAATTGGCGGACACAGAGATAACTCATTGTGTGGAATATATATATATATATTAATTGTAAATAATTTATTGAAAACTCGGAGGGTTTTATGGCAGCTGACACATAAACCGACGAACAGACTGCGTGCACAACCGTAGGTGTGTAGGAGAAGTCGTATGTTTCGCACTATGAAAAAAATACATTTGAACAAAATAAGAAGAACCGTGAAAAAGGGGTTGCGTTCATGGACTTTTGGCGGTTTTTTTGCGGACGACGAAGTCGAATTCCATGTTGGCCAAGTGCGTGAAGATGGGCAACACGTCGTGGTCCGGCATCCACGGCGAGCTGACACTCGGCTGGAACACGGTGAACATGGTGCAGTAGCCGACTTTGTGGACCATTTCCGCGTGGGGCTTGTTCTGGTTCTCGCTGCCCATCAGCTGCCTCGGGCCAACCGTCAGGCTGTCGTGGTGCGCCACCACCAGGATGTCGCCCCAGTCCTCCGCGGTCGCTTTGCACAAGGCCGCCATCAGGTGCCGGATGCGGACGTTGTACTCGGCGAACGTCTCCGCGGCGATCCGGTCCTGTATCGTTTCCCTGCTGTACATGGCCGTGTAATCGTTGACCGGCACTCCGATCCGGCAGCTCTTGAACTCGGCGTCGGTCATCCACTTGGGCACTACGCGCAGCGACCAATGCGGCCACTCGTACAGTCCCGGTTCGATGTTGATCTTCAACGACGAATTTTTCAGCCCTGCAAATCCACGCACACTTATCACCGATTCACAACCGCTTTGGGGGAGAGTTTCCAATCGAAATTGGAAGCATTCGAGATGTGGTCGCGCGCAAGAATGCTGAAGACGCCTAGGCTCCGACACCCGGGACACGTCGTGAGAAACGAGAGCGGACATTCTACAGTTCAAATCCATTCTGCATGGGAAAATATATGGAAAGACAAGACCCGAGGTGGAAGAAGAACGGCACGGGCTGCAATTGCTTGGAATACAATGAAAATCGCACCGTACCGTATAAGAAACGAGTGGCGGTCAGAACACTGCGCATGGAGCACGACGAGAAAACGTGTTTGATGTCCAGAGGCGGCGAATGGTTGTTGTTCTTGAGCGAGTAGCCCGTCCATTCTGATTGAAATTCGCCAACAATCGTCAACGGCGGATCGTGTTGGTAATCCGCAAACGAAGCTCTGTTCTCCAGATGTGTAGGAAGGTTGAGATCTTTCCGGACGTAAGCGCCTATCAAAAAACATGCAAGATGCAGAACAAATAGAAGAATGTAAATCGAACTCGGTGGGATGGACACAAGGGAATAACGGTAATTACCGGTTTTTTCGTCAATCACATTTTTCCACCACTGTGGACCGAATACACAGTCTACCGGTTCAGCGTGACTCATGAAGATGATTCGACGACAAAGGCTGGCCGGTGTGTAAATCGAATCTTGGTACAACTATAACGGGTGGTATAAGTAAAAACTGGACGTGCTCTCCAGACAAGCGTAATGTACTTACGCATTTCGATATTGAAAAGTTTCGAATAAATTTGAAATTGATGGCTCTTATCAATGTTAACCGATTCATCGCGAGCCACGCTTCCAACGTTCAACGCGGTTTTAATCGTTGAAATATTATTTCCGGGCGATTATTCAGCGTTGGAAACCTAATCAGAAAGATTTATCTCCGGACTATGATTACCTAGGAGTTGAATATGTTATTTCCATTTTCATAACGGCCAGAACAGTTTGCCGAAATTTGAGTTCAACAAATATAACAGACAATTATTGTTGCTGGACGAATGTTCAAAAGTTCTGCTATTCCGTGAAATAAAGAAACGAGTTTCCAGTGTTAATATGTAACGGCTAAGCGGTCTAAGTATTGTTTGAAATTATACTCCGCTATATGGTTAATTAAATCATGCAAAACTCCACTATACATAATACACCGACGTGCGGTAATTAGAATAAATGTTAAGGATGAACGTGAGGAATTTGTTCGGCAAACTACTAACAACGAACAGCGGAAGTAAAAAGTGTAATTAGTGTAAAGAATACATTGACAGACATTTTTCCAGGAAACTGAACTTCCAACTGTTATTCATTAGTCTCCTGTTAATTTGCTACAAAGCTCAAGTCGTATAATATCAAAAGTTTTCATCCGTTTACTTAAACAACAATAATCGTACTTAAGTTTTTTTTTTTTTTAAACTGTTTATTAACGACAAGGTAATTCGGAATGACTAGAAGCTTTTTTAACCGTGTCCAGACGGCGTTTGGGCAAAAGTACACAGTTCGTGTACAAAATATATTAATAATTTTTACACAAATACTACATTGTCAGGAACACAATTCGATATTGGCTACTTTTTAAGAGACGACGACAACAACATTCTACGGCGGTTATTATTCGTAGGCTATAAAAAGCGACTTGAACGTTTCCTTTTCTGATTGATGGCCCGAATGGAAAACGCTTAACGCGAATTTTGATAAAAAACAAATTCCCTTTTTTTTTTTTTTTTTTAAATTTTGGCGATCGTCTGGCGTATTTTAGCAACTCGCCGGCGACCTCGGACCCCGGCGGTGTTCAAACCAAGCCGGTCTGCGGAATTTGTGTGCATAATATTTATTTATATAATATGTACCCGTGACGCTTTGGCATCCGGCCGGAATAGCTCAACAATCATCGTTTTTATCGTCGTTCGGCGACGGTGAAAA